AAAATTGCCGTTTTTCGAGGTTAAACGGCTTCCCCAGGCCACTTCAGGAGTCCGGGTGTTACTTCTATGGTACCAAAATGTTGGTCTAATGTCCCCCTGTTCAGGAGAGCGCTAGGTAGACCGTGCGGGCAGGTTGCATAGCTACCAGGGGCAACAAACCATTTTAGAGCATTTCCGTAAAACGAATCATGCGGGTAAAATTCGTTTCTTATATCAACAAAGCTTCACCCTGAGCATTGCGGAAAGACACGAAATGTACGCCGCAGTTTCACTGCACGCCTCAAGACCGGTTAGGGTGGGTTGCCTGGCTACCAGGGGCAGTAAACTTCAACAATATATCTTTTAGAAAGCTAAAAAGCTTTGTTTATCGCCGATCTCGTCCGTAAGGCATTACGAAGGGGTTTCTCTGACCGTCCTCTCACGTAACAGGCCTCGCGATCGTAGAAAATCGCCTAAAGTCGGAAAAATCAGGAAAACTTCTAAAATAATCGGAAAAAATCGTGAAAAATCATGGAAAAGGAGACTTCAAGCCCGCTGCGGTGGCCGTGCCCGCCGGGACATCAGCAGCACCAGTGATCTACCCAACAGGGCGCATATTTTGTCACGCACGGTTTAAACATAATGAGAAAACTGTATTCTTAGCACAGGATGTTTAATTTTCTGTTACAAGGAGCAGATTTTGATAGTATATTATTTTTTCACGAGTTTTCCTGATTTTTTTCTCATTCTTTTGGGACGTTTTCCTGATTTTTTCCGATTTCCTACGATTTTCGCCGATTTCCGACGAAATCCGACGATTTCGGACGATTCTCTCCCCTTCTGAAATAAATCAGAAAAAATCAGAACAATCGGGAAAAAATAAAGAAACGGACGTACGCGCTTCTCCTTGCGATGCGCACTTGTCGACCTCCACTTGCACAGGGATAATTTATCACAGGATATGCGGAATAGCGCGAATGAACGGCAATATAGTGCAAAATAGACGCGAAATCCACAAAATACATAAAAACAATTATTGTTAACCATAAACGGACCCGTAGTTAAGAAAATTTCCAATACTACAGTTTCGAGCAATATTTTATGAAGAAAAGAAAAATGACTACAAGGCTGTTTTTGTTTATATTATTGTTGTTGTGACGTAGAATTTATGAACATATTACTGCACGTAGGTTTGTGAGAAAATGCACTACATATATGAGAGCTCTGCAGTGAGCGGGCATGCGAAAGGAGGCGTCCGAAAGCGATAGTGCGACATAGAAGCTCGCGCGGCGCCATAGCTCCCTGTCACTCTAATCCGCTTTCGGACGTCATGAAGGTATCCGATGCCTGCTCGCTGTATTGTTCTTGTCCTTAATGTATCTTTTTGCGTGATATTTTTGTGAATTAGTCCAACAATCAGTACTTTTATAATTGAACACAATTTTTGGCGTGGGCGATGGGCAGCGCCTGCGTAGAGCGGACTGCCGAGAGCAAGGTGTTCATTGTTGGGCTGTTACCCAGACGCGGCGCAAAATGCAACAGGTGGTGTTGAACGATCTCCCGCCTCCCCCCCTGCGCCGCGGTGTCTGGTAGAAACGGGTCCGTTTAAAAAGTGACGTGTCGGCGCCGCACGACAAGCCATATGTATGCCAGGCGTGCCGTGACACTTCGCGAAGCCTGTTACGCGAGAGGATGGTCAAAGAAACCCCTTCGAAAAGCCTTACGGACAT